TGCAATGGGTCCACCTGTATCTCTATTTAAACGATGTTTTTTCCCTTCCCATCCACAAATTATACTGACATCAAATACAGTGAAAGCAGGGGTTATACCATGGGGGAGGGACATACAAAGCAACAAAGAAATAATTTTATAAATGTGTTAGAAACAATCGCATGAAAGAAAAAAACACTTGAATACATATCTTAGGGTTCATTTCCCTAACATCAACTTATCTGACCTTTTCTGCTTGAGTCAGACATATACTAGATATTGCAAATAAGGGAAACCATGGAACCTATGTTTCCTTGGGCCTGGCTTACTTCACTTAATATAATTTTTTCCAAGTCTTTTCATTTCCTAACAAATGGGGCAATGTCATTCTTTCTGATGGAGGCATAGAATTCCATTGTGTGTATATACCACATTTTCTTGATCCATTCATGAGCAAAACTTTTTAAATTTGATGCAGCTCCAGTTGTCAGTTCTTGGCTCTTATATCCTAGGATAATTCAGAAAATAATTGCTAATATTTTTCTCCCAGAGTTTCTCCTAAATTTTTCTGAAGTAATTTCAAAGTTTCAAGGCTTATATTGAGATCTTTGTGATCTTCAAGTTTTGAGTTTATTTTTGAACAGGGTGAAAGATAGAGTTCCACTTTCAGTTATTTGCATATAGATAACCAGTTTCCCCAGTACCATTTTTAAAGAAGATATCTTTTCTCCAGTACTGTATATGCTTTTGGCTCCTTGCTCAAAGACCAGATAGATAACTGTTGTCATGTAGTTTTATTTCTGGGTCTTCTACTCTAATCCATTTATCTTCTTGTCTACTTTTATTCCATTCCCATGCTCTTTTGTTATTATGGCTCTCTAGTATAATTTGAAGTCCAGAGTTATCAAAAGATAACTCCAGCAATGCTCTCTTTGACCAGGATTGATTTTTCTATTCAGGATGTTGCATTCTTCCATATGAATTTTAGGATGCATTCTTCTATTTCTGTGAAGTGACACTGGGATTTTAATGGGCATTGTATGTATGTAGAATGCTTTCAGTAATACAGACATTTTTACAATATTAACTTTCCCAATCCATGAATATGGGAGATTTTACCATCTTCATGTGTCATTTTCAATCTTTCTTCAAGATTTTATAGATACCTTTGTAGAAGTCCTTCACTTCATTGGTCAAGTCTACATAAAAGTATTTTTGAGACTATTGTAAAGAAATACTTTCCCTGCTTTTTTTTGCCAGTCTGTTCATTGTGGGCATATGGAAAAGATACTGAATTTTATGTTTTTTATTCTGGCATATTGTCAAAAGTGTTTAGCAGATACAGGAGTTTTGAGTGCAATCTTTTGTCTTTTAAGTATAAAATTTTGTCATCTGTGAATAGGGGGCTGAATTTATCCTTCCCTAATTGTATTTCTTTCTTTCTCCATCTTTGTTGCTTTGGCTAGAAAATCCAGCTATATTGAATAAGAGTAGGGGAAATTGATCCCTTGTCTCATTTCTGACATTAATTTAATCAAAACTTCCCCACTGATTATGTTGATAAGGGCTGTATAGTGTCGGTTGAGTAACATTTTATGTATTCCTAGTTTCTTTAGGGATTTTATTTTTTTTTAAAAAGGATATTGAATTTTTCAAAGCATTTTTTGCATCAAGATGTTCATATGATTCTTGTTGCTTATGTGCAGTATTATGCTTATTGACTTATATATGTTGAGCCATCCTTATATCCTTGGAATAAAATGAACTTAATAATGGTGTGCCTGATTATCAGAAACTTACCAGCTTTAGCTCTAATATGTATTTAGAGTTCAACCACCTCACCATCTCTGCTGCTAATTATACCTGGTGAGCTGCTACCATTTCTTCTATGAACTAGCCTTCCGGTTTTCCCGCATCAACCTGTGCTCCCAGCTTGACTCCTTTAAAACCTAAGTCAGAGTTTACCTTTCTTGCTTTACCAGCAGCTCTTGTTTTTCCCTAAAGGCCAAATTCCTAAAAATGGCCTTCACAAGTTAGGTTCAGTGGCACATTGTACTCTCAGCTATGAGGGAGGTAGAGCTGGGGAAATAAAGAGGGACTAAGTAGGAAGATTGTGGTTTGAGGCCGCTTGAGCAAAAACATAACACTTGATCTGAAAAAAACCACCACTATCAACTATAGTACAAAGGGGGCTGGAGGTTCAAGTAGTAGAGCTCCGGAGGTATAGTTCAAGTAGTAGAGCTCCAGCCAAGTAAGCAGGCTGAACAAGCCATAAGGCTCTGAGTTTAAACCCTGAAGAAAAGAAGAAAAAGAAAGAAGCATAAAGGGCGGGGCATTACTTTAGTGGGAGAGCACTCAAGGCAAAGTTGAGTTCAATCCAGAGTGCTGTTACCACACAAAAACAGTTTCCTCCAAAGCTCCCTTTGATTTTTTCCAAGGTCTGACTCCTCTGTTCCCTTCACTTCATTCCAATCATTCTTTCCTACTTTTCCTTTCCAAAGCCACAAGCATGTTAAACTATGCTAACAGTTAGTTGTCTTTCCCTCTTCTTTGCTTAGAAATCTCTTTCCACAAATCTTCATCATTTCTGGAGTTAAATGGCTTCACTTTCTTTAAGTTCTGGTTCAATGTTAGTCTCATAATGCTGTTTAAAATAGCAATCTATAAATCACTCACCACTGTCAGTCCCATTATCCTTTCTTTTCCCATCATTTATTACTTTAGATAATATGAAACAATTTGCCTATTTGATTTGTTATTTATGTCCATCACTAGACTATGAACTCTAGGTGATGATCTTTGCTTGCTCTGATAGATTCCAATTGCTTATTAGCTGAATGAATCAGTATCTTTGGGAGAGAAGACATTGCAATCAAATTATAAGAACAACATTATAGAGTGCTTACACATGCTAAATGTCCTTTCCATTTGTTATACTACTTTCATTCTCCTGGCAACAAAGTATAGTAGATATCATCATTATCCTGATTTCATAGGAGAGAAATTGCTTAGATTCATGATATGTGGTTAGACTATGAGACAAGCATAGCATCAGCCCTCCTGAGTTTCTGCTCCTGACCTTTGCTAGCCTAGCATGATTTCTGTTGATTGCATGCTCCCTGAGGGCAGGGACCTCCCTTTACCAACACTTTGCCAGATTGGGCTGAAAACCATTAACCTTTGGTCTTTCTCCTGCTATTATCTGGAACACTCATATAAATGTTTACCCATAAACTCAATATAACATAAACCCATAAACTCAAATGTCTCTTACCTATAATTTCAGTTGTCTTGAGATCCAGACAAGGAAAGGCCACCTTTAAGTTTGAGCTCAAGACTGCTCATTTCCAGAAAGCTTTTAATCAATCTAGCAAGACTGACAGCAGTATGAGAAGGCCATAATTTTGTTTTTATCATTTCCATCTCAGCACACTGTAGTGCTCAATAAATAGTTGATAAAAGACTCAAGCCTCTCATCTCCAGATGGGCAAGGGTAACAGGGACTTATGAAGCACACCGATCTCATCATACCCACCTCCACCTGAGCAAATCTGTACTTCAGTGAGTCTGATTCATGGTAAAACTGGACTACAGAGGAGCCCACAACTTTGTTTTAGTCAAGAGAGGCAAAAAATGGAGTATATCCTTCTAGAAACTCATGGGTCAGCTGAGAGAGGACTGTGAGCTTTGTAGCCTGGACTTCCCTTCCTAATCTCCCAGCAACCAAGTTCCAGGAAGCTGGTAAGAAGCTAGTAGGGGCACTGTGGTATGAATCAACTTGACATCTGGATCTTCTCAAGACACTCAGATACAAAAAAAAGGGACTTACAGGTTTCCTTTTCCATTGTAAAAACATCTCAGTGAACAGGGTACCTTCTGAATCCAGATCCCTCTGGTACATCCTCTGCTCACTGCTTTGAAGCCTAGCTTGCCAGTGAACATTCTTTCCTTCAAAACCTAACACTTACCCTTCTTCATTCAAAGATCATTTTGAAGCTCTGACACACACTAGGAACTTCTTTCATATGCACATGCATATGTGTATGTATGTACAATTTACCGGACTTACAGCTTTCTGGATACCATTCATGGCCCCAGCCCTTCCATATACTCACCCTTTCCCAGACTCTGAGACTCACGAGTGCTTAGAAGTTGTAGCAGGAAGCCTAGGATGAAGTAGGGATGGTTTATAAAAAATTTTCAGGGCTGGGAAGGTGGTTCAGTGGTAGAGCGCTTGCCTTGCATGCATGAAGCCCTGGGTTGATTCCTCAGCACCACATAAGCAGAAAAACAAAAAAAGCTGGAAGTGGCGCTGTGGCTCAAGTGGTAGAGCGCTAGCCTTGAGCTGAAGAGCTGAGGGACAGCGCCCAGGCCCAGAGTTCAGGCCCACCACCGGACCCCCCCCCCAAAAAAAAAAATTCAGGAAACATGGATGTTAAACTTATATCAGTTCTTTAAAATTAACAAAGCAGCAGACAGATGTCTTACTAAGTTAAAAATGGTTAAGTGCAACTGTTACAGGGTACTGTAACCATGAGGATTTGAGCTCTGTGGGCCCTGCTCTTCCACTTTCTAGTCTTCTATCTGTACATGGCAAGTCAGAGGCTCTCTTGTGGTTTCAGGGTTTACCTTCTGTTTCAACACAGAGGGAAGAGGTAGAATTGTTAGGACCACTAGTGAGAACTGTCTAGGTACAAATCCTGACTGTTCCAGGAACTAGCTCCAAGACCCTGGGGATATCATTCTCTAATTTATAAGAAATTACAATAGTATTCCCCATGTTGTTGTAAAAACAAAGAGCATGTCCCATAAGTGAATTTCAACATACATGACTGTTATTATCATTTAGTTATTGAAAAATAAAGGAGAGTACTAGTATATAAACCTACAACTAGAGTACCCTACCATGCGTATTTACCATGCTTTCAGGCGCAAAATCAATCTTTAGAAGGGTTGCCAGTGCTTCGAACCCACATTACTTACAAGTGAACAGAAATAAGCGCAAATCAGGATTCCATAAGTTATCACCACGAAACGGACTTTTACTAACAAAACCAAAGAACCCCAAACACTTTTTATGGACAATGGTATGTTTCCCTCAGATTCCAAAGTGGGATTGTGCAAACACATATTGTAAAAATCCTCAACAGGTTTCAGAGAATATAGCTGTGAACACAAATACATAAAAAAATTAATGTGAGATGTTCTGGAATCTCATTTCAAACAACTTATACAACCATCTGTGAATGCCATTGCTCTTCTGCCTCTAAGGATTGGCAACTGGAGCTTCTGAAATACAGCAGTCGATGTCACAAACACATAAGGAAGTGGGTTAAAGTGGAAGAGCAGAACTGTACATCAATTACGATCTAGTACTAAGTATGAAAGTGATAACTCAGCTGGCTTAAAAAATCTGTAAATACAATCTCTCCTATTCACTCTAGAAGTATTTTATTTTCCGCTCAGTGTGTTGGTCAGAGAGATCAGTATTTGTCAAACATGCACAAGTGAAATATATCCTGGGAGACATTCAGATAAACACAGTCACCCTCAGGGCTACTGGTCATCTGGACACCTTTGGCCACCAGTGGAGTCCCACAAATTGCTTCTTTCACAAAGACAAGGGCTATGCAGGAGATCTCCTAGGGACTTCCCCTGATGACAGACAGGATGTCCTGAAAAACTCTGTGATAGACCATTTTTGAAGTGGGTGGGGAAGGTGGGCCATGTGTTGGTTGACTGAGACCGGATAGCATATGAAGTCTTCTGCTAAAACAGTTCACTTCATGTTTTCATAACTGACTCTGCAGGCAATGGAGTGTTAGACAGCCCTGAACAGTGCATTAGCAGGCTCAGGAAGTCAGTTAAAGCATAATAATGAGGACTGATACTCACAGAAGTCATGAACCTAATGTGAAAGAAAATAATTTTGACTTAGAACAAAGGTTGTCTACAGTGAAGATAGAAACCAAGGTCATATGTTTAGAATACCAGAAGCACAAACTACCTTGTGGTTAAGTAACATTCTAAAAACTGTACATGGATAGAGATGTATCTTCCAAATTAATATTATCTTTTCTCCTTTTAAAAAGGAATGGAAACTAGGATGACAAATACCTAGACAGTCCCTGTAGACAAGGACTACACAATCCCAGAATCCTGTCTTGTCTTTTACAAAACATGCCTTACCTCACATGTGGAGAAGCACTTAGAAAGTCCTAGACCATTTGTATCATGCTGACAATAGATAGAATTACTGATGGGATACTAACCCAAATTAATACCTTTAAAAATATTTTAAAAATGTTACCCAGAAATATAATTTTCTTGCATATTATGTGCCCCATACTAGTACTTTTGATTTGTTATCTAAAAGTGGATGGAAATTACGGAATATGATTCTAAATTTATACTTTGATCATTTACTAAAACTTGAAAGTAAGTTTCACTGTGAGGACATGGACCTACTTGAAATTATATCTATTGATTTTATATTTTATCATATTGATAAAATTAAGGTTGAGTCAGAATAGTACACATTTAGGTGTATATTCCACAATTGTCAACATGTATTCATTAAAGGTCATTAAAGGTTACTCTTGGCAGCATGGAGTCCATTGCCCAGGGCACTAGTTGGACTGCAAGGAAACCTTTCAAATTTACACATGGTCCCTAGGGCTTCTGGCAAACACCAACGTGAGCACATGACACAAAGAGGAAGCAGTGTCTAACTGCACCATCCATAGGTGTTCCAACAAATACCTTCTATCTGACATTTCTTTTCAAGTTTTGGGAGTGGCCCTTCCCTCATGTTCTTCTGATAGGTTCACATGGAAAATGCTGACAAAATATTTTCACTAAGGTATCTCCTGAGATTCCCTGTAAGATGTTTAAGAGAGACTGTTTAAGAGAGACATCCCTGACTCTGCCCAATAGAGACGACACCCCATATATATTATATACAGCATGGTGTGGCTGCCACTCTCTACTGGTGCATGCTCAGCTGAGAGCTAGTATGAGAAAAAGGGCTTTCCACTTAGAACAATTTATGCCTATGGGCAACAAACACCAAGAAACATGCACACTACAAAGAACCTGTATGTGAAGAGTTAATATTTTACACCAGGGAGGGAATGCTGTCAAAAATGCTGATGGGATGCTCTGACTTGGGGACTTCTGCAACAAAAGGGGGCCTGTGAAAGTGTTTTTTATTGTCTTTCAAAATTCAGAGTTGGTTCTGTGTCAGGCACTAAGCAATCTGGTAGCTTTTGGTCCAATGGGTATTTTAGTTGTCTTTTTTGCACATTTTTAATCCATCTGTGAACAGCCAAGTTCAAGTGCTGGAAACCTTGATGTTGCTGGTTCCAAGATGTCAGAGAGAAAGTGAACAGCACCAGCCATGCCTGCAAAGAAAAATGTTTATCTTTTAAGGGACAGAAAAAGGTGGTGCATGAAGCAAACTTTTCAATCATTTCCTGTACCAGGGCTGTCAGGATATTGAGAAAGGTACTAACATCATTTTTAAATGACTTAATAGCTATAATCCCAATCTTGGGGGGAGGGCAGCTATAGGGAGGATCATGGCCAGCACAGGTAAACCAGGCTTGTGGGATTGTGACTAGAGTCTACAGATGTGATGATCTTTGCCTAAGGCAGGCTTTGGGCAAAAATGTGAGATACAATATTTTAAAAAAAAAACTAAAAAGAAGGGAGAATGTTTTGAGTGGTAGAGCATGCCTAGCATCACAAGACCCCTGAGTTCAAATCCAGTACAGCCAAAAAACAACAAAATATTTCACTTAAGCAAAAATAAAGAAATCCTTATGTTAGTATGCAGCAGGCAATTATGCCAGTTTTCTTCATTATCTTTTTTTTTTTTTTTTGGCTTTTGGGTTTTTGTGTTGCACCTTGAAGTAAGTATTAAGATAATAGTTCAGCATCTCTAGCAATGAGCTGCAGATGTGGGGCTGGAGTGTGGCATGCCTCTGGGTTCCATCCCCAGGAACATAAAGAAAAAAAGTGAAGGATACGGCCAGTGATGACATTTAAACGCAGAAAACTTTTCCTCTCAGAGTTTTTACAGTCTCCATCCAAAGAACTGTATTTTATGTTTAGGTTCTCAGAGAACAGTTTTCAAACAAATGCTGTTTGCTTTCATTACAATCCCCACATCAAAACAGTAATAGTTGTGCCACAGGCTTCAAATGTGGTTGACAGGAGCTTGGGAAGGGTAGGGGTTGGGCAGACTTATGCACCAATTCAGGCCTCCAGGCAAGATTCCACTTTAGAGTGATTCCTTTCTGCTGTACTTTCCATTTTCTTACAGTTGTCATAAGATGTACATGCCCAAATACACAAATCTTAAATGTACTTCTCTGAGTTTTAATATATACCTGGGTAAAACAAATCCATATTGGGCTGGGAAGGTGCCTCAGTGGTAGAGCGCTTGTCTTGCATGCCTGAGGCCCTGGGTTCGATTCCTCAGCACCAGATAAGCAAAAAGAAAAAAGCTGGAAGTGGCGCTGTGGCTCAAGTGGTAGAGCACTAGGCTTGAGCTGAAGAGCTGAGGGACAGCACCCAGGCCCAGAGTTCAGGCCCCACAACTGGACCAAAAAAAAAAAAACCCCAAACAAACAAACAAAACAAATCCATAGTATGTCATCATCTGGAATGTTCTACTATCCAAAGAGCTCCAGGTATCCTTCTGCAGTCCACCCCACCCCACTCCCCAGAGCTAACTGCTGGAAATGAGTTTTAGATTGTCACCTGGGTGGAATCACAGAATATGGTCTCTTGCCTGGCTTTTCTACTCAGTGTCTCTGGAACTCATTCATAAATATGAATCGCCTCCACTTTGAATTTAGGTATTAATTCCTGTTATATCTAGTGAGAATGCATATTTTTCTTTCCTTCTTTGTTTTTTTTTTTCTCCCGTTGCTTTCTTTCTTATAAGCTGATTCAGGGGCTTGAACTTAGGGCCCAGGCACTATCCCTGAGTTTTTATGCTCAAGGCCAGTTCTCTAGCACTTGAGTCACAGCATTACTTCTGGTTTTCTAGTGATTAATTGGAGATAAGTGTCTCACAGACTTTCCTGCCCAGGCTAGCTTTGAACCATGATCCTCAGATTTCAGCCTCCTGAGTGGCTAGGATTACAGGTGTGAGCCACTAGTGCTTGGCTGTATTATATGATTAAAAAAACCCCACCAACATCAGAAATAAACAAGCCATATAACACCACAGACGGTTCAGACATCAAAAGAAGAAAAAAGGAATACTTCCAATAGCTTTACATATAAAATTTGATTTCATGGATGATATGGCCCAATTTCCCCCATATTGCAAACCCAGACATTTTTGCTAGAGAATTCTACTGAAGACTGAAATTAAACTAACAGCATTTCTTGCACCAATTAATACAGGCTGTAGAAAATAAAAGATAAGACACTTCTAATTTACTAGATAAGTACAGTCCTGATAACAAAATCAGATAAAGATGGTAAAAAATAGGAAAACCAGAAATCAATATTTTTGATGAACATATATACAAAAATCTTTAACAAAATATTAGCAAGTACAATATGGCAATATATAAAAAGAACTGGAAGTATGACCAAGTTTCAGAAATATGAGATTGTATTAATATCTGAAAATGATTCAATAAAGTCCATATTATTAATAGACTAAAGAAGAAAATTTTTATGATCATATTAATTGATAAGAAAAAGCATTAATAAAATGTAATATCAATGTAGTTGATTTTTAAAAAATTTTAAAAATAGTATTTAATCATTAAATGTTATTCTGACATTTACTTTGAGATAGTTAAAATGTAGTTACAGATCTTAACATCAAACCTGAAACTACTGCAGGACAGAATAGGAGAGACACTTGAACTTATAGGCATAGGCAGGAACTTCCTGAACAGAGTCCCAGGGTCACAACAAATTGGAGAGAGACTCAACAAATGGGGAACTACCTTAAAATAAAAGTTTCTGCACAGATAAAGACATAGCTACCAAACTAGAGAGACAGCCAACTAACTGGGAAAAAATATTCACCAGCAATATATAAGACAAGAGCCTAATATCAATTATATATAGGGAACTCAAGAAACTAATCCCTCCCAAATCTAACAAAACAATCATTAAATAGGCAAGGGAGCTAAAGAAAGACTTCTCAGAAGAAGAGATAAAAATGCCAAAGAATGGGCTGGGAAAGTGGCTCAGTGGTAGAGTGCTTGTCTTGCATACATGAGGACCTGGGTTTGATTCCTCAGCACCACGTAAGCAGAAAAAGCTGGAAGTGGCACTGTGGCTCAAGTGGTAGAGTGCTAGCCTTGAGCTGAAGAGCTGAGGGACAGTGCCCAGTTCGCCATCCCTGGTTGTAAAGGAAATGCAAATAAAGACAACCCTGAGATACTACTTTACCCAGTCAGAATGGTCCACATCCTAAATTCAGCCAACAATAAATGCTAGTGGGATGCAGAAAAAGAAGAACCCTATTGTATTGCTGGTGGGAATGTACACTAATACAACCACTTTGGAAAGCAGTCTGGAGGTACCTGAGAAAGCTAAATAGACCTCTTCTATGACCCAGCCATACCAATCCTAGGCATCTACCCTGACCAACAGGAAAGGAAACAGGATATAAGAACATATGTACCTCCATGTTCATTGCAGCACTGTTCACAATATAAGATATAGAAACAACCCAGATGCCCCACTACAGATGAATAATCCAAAAAGAATGGTACCTATATACAATGGAGTATTATGCAGCCATTAGAAAGGACAAAATCATGGCATTTACATGGAAATGGATGGAACTAGAACAAATCTTTTTTCTTTTGTTGGTCATGGGGCCTGAACTCTGGGCCTAGGCACTGTCCCTCAAGACTAGCGCTCTACCACTTGAACAACAGTGCCACTTCCAGCTATTTCTGCTTAAGTGGTACTGAGGAATTCAACCCAGGGCCTCATGCATGCAAGGCCAGCACTCTACCACTGAGCCACCTTCCCAGCCCCTAGAACAAATCATTTTGAATGAGGTAAGCCAAGAGCAGAGAGACAAATGGCACATGGTCTCCCTGATATGGGGATGTTAGATCCAAAATGCAAGGAGATATGACAAAGTAAACAGGACTCGAGAAACAAAGGACCTCCACTCAATTTGTCATATCATTTTTAAATGACTCCATGTTCTTGACCACATATATAGTATATATGTGTGTATGCATGTGTGTATATATACATATATGTATATATATATGTATATATATGTATATATACATATATAAGTATATGTATAAAGTATATATGTATAAATATATATAAGTATATATGTATAAGTATACATATATATGTATATATACATATATTTATGTACACATCTGAGGGAAGCTAGGAGGAGGGCACAGAATCAGAGGGAAATGGGAAAATATACAACAGAGGGGCCCGTCATCTGCACTGGGCACTGTTGAAAATGAACTAAGCAACTCAATGGCAATGATGAGAGGGAGGGAATGAAAGGGAAAGAGGGAACAGCTTACACTAAGCAAAAGGAAACCCATGTACATATCATAGTTGTCAAAGCTCATAGAATTCACAAACATTATAGACCATGATAATGACAATTTGCCTTGTGAAGGTTAAAATGAGTTTGTGACTTTAAGTATCACTATCTCACAATACTGTGAAATTTATGTAATCACTTAATCTCAATGAAAATTATTTTTAAAAATATAGTTACAAAGTAATTAAAAGTTGTCATCAATTTGTCCCAACATAAAGTTCTTTGCTGTCCTTTGATTTCTGTGGCCACACACACACACACACACACACACACACACACACACAAAATTAAGTTCTTTCAACAGTAACTTTCTTTCTCTGAACTATATCTATCTGTGGCAGGCTCTCTTAATTAATGTTGTATTTATTAATGGTATTGTTCCTTTTGGAATATCTTCAATATTGGCTTATTATTTCTTCTAATTATTAGTATCACTAATTACTAATACTTCTAATCAATAATATTGTTAATACTTCTTTATATAATTGAGTTAAATAAAAATATATGTAAGTAACCATTCAAGCTTCCTGTAAATACATCAACATTTCCTAACAACATTAGAGATCAAATACAGAGGAGTAAATGTACTGAGTAGCAAGCCTTCCAGGCTCTGTCTGCTATATACTTAACAGAAGATCTGAAAACACTTGGAGGATATTCACAGGAGCAAATAGATAAGATAAAGATTAGATAATCTGTTCACTGTTTTCTTAGCTATGAAGTTTTACACAAAAAAAGATCAAATGGACTGGTGTTTGTCCTCAGAGACAGGATGACCCATTGCACATGCCCAAATGTATAAATCCATGCACATTTCCCATGCCTACCTTCGAAAAGGGAATAAGGTCTGTCAGGAATACGGCACCCATGTGCTCCGTAATCAAGACACCATTCTGCAAACTAAGAAGAAAAACATTTCTTTTTAATAATAGAGCTTCCAGTTGGATAAAAGGCAATGAAATGAGACACTGCAATGCTTATACAAGAAACAAGTGGCGAGTTCCAGCTATAGTGTTTCCAGGGAGGGTTGAGGCCTGGTGAGTGAGTTAGCGACTTCTCCCTAACTGAGTCCTCATCTGTAGGTGGTATCTGCCTCAAAACATTGTAGAGAGACTGAGATACATAACTTTGACAACTCAACAGTTTGTCCCTTTTTTGGATGCCTGCCTCTATAACTTGCTCTTTCTGAATAAAAAGTTCTGGCTCTGAAACTACTTATAGACTTGACTGCTGGCTCCCCTTGGACCTCTTCTCTGAAGTAACTGAGAAACTCAGAGCTTTTCCCCTGGCATGGGCCATCATTAGTTGCACTCCTGGGAAACATAATCGTAAACCTGGCTCTCTTCTCTTTTCTCAGCTGCCATATGCACTGTCACCTGACCACCTTTCACCTTGAAAATGCTTCAGCTCAGAACTTTTCTTTGAGTTCCTTTGCTCCTATTTCTTTAATCTTCCTTCTTCCATCTCTTTCCTTCTATCACTTCTCTTTTTTTCTATAATCACCTTTTCCTTCTTGTTAAGCTAACATCCTTTTACATTCTTGATGAAAGAAATAACAGTAACAGTTTAGAATGGAATGTGACCCACTTCATTCTTCAGAGAGGGAGGATAAGTATAGCTATAGTGTAGTGGCTAGAAAGCAGTATAAGAAGAAGTGATGAGGATGAAGAAGCAGACAGGACATGCAGAGCTCTAAACTTAGGGAGGGATGGATTTTAAGCAGAGACAATTGCATATTATCTATAGATTATCTCAGTTAATTCTTGGAACATTCTTAGAAGGCAGGTAGTAATACTTTTTCCATTTTACAAGAAAGGAAACTGAGGCTAGATGCACCCATAGCCATAAAGCTAATATACAGTATAGATGGTAATTCTTTGTTATCTTTAAGCAGTTATACAAAGTGTTTCAATTCAACATGTCAGCTTATGAGTACATGCAACAGATGTTATTTCTAACCAAACGGTGCAACTCCAAAACTTGTATCTTTCAGAGGCCATTTATATTTGTTATCCTCATTTTACAGACAAGGACACGATGGTAGAGAGAAATCCAGGGCCCAGGCTGTGAGAGAAGACACTACAGATAAGAGAAGCAAATGTATGCTGGGTGCCATGGCTCATACCTATAATCCTAGCTACTCAAGGAAGCTGAGATATGAGGATCACTTTTCAGCCTGGGCAGAAAGGTCTGTAAGACTCTATTTCCAAATAACCACCTAAAAGCTGGAAGTGGGGAAGTGGAGTTGTGGCTCAGGTGGTAGAGTACTAATCTTGAGCCAGAAAAAAAAAAAAAGTCAGCGACAGACCTAGGCCCTGAGTTCAAGCCTCAGAAAAAGCACACACACACACACACACACACACACACACACACACACACACACACACACACACACACACACACACACACACACACACACACGGAACAATTCAAGCATGAAGAGAAGTTACGTTGTTGGATTCTGTTCTTGGATTTTAGGTGTCTTCTTACCTTGCAAGCTCGATAGAGGTACTTTTTATCCTGTGTGAGATGATAAAGGGAGAGAAAGGAGTACCCATTTCCAGCAGTCCCATGGCAGATCCCATAGCCTTTCCGGAGCAGACCTCGCTGCCAAATCACATCACTACACTCCACAGCGTCTTTCAAGTATTTTTCATCCTTAAACACCTGGGAATAAAAACCAAAGAAATGTTAGCAAGATGTTATCAATGAATAGACAGCAAAGTACTTTCCCTTTTTGATTAGAAAATTATACAGGGCTGGGAAGGTGGCTCAGTGGTAGAGCGCTTGCCTTGCATGCATGAGGCCCTGGGTTCAATTCCTCAGCACCACATAAGCAGAAAAAAAAAGCCAGAAGTGGTGCTGTGGCTCAAGTGGTAGAGTGCTAGCCTTGAGCTGAAGAGCTGAGGGACAGCGCCCAGGCCCAGAGTTCAGGCCCCACGACTGAAACGCCCCACCCCCCCAAAAAATTAGAAAATTATATAACATTAGGGCATCTCCTCATGAAAGCAGAGGCTTTTAGATTCATGGAAAACATGTATCCTTTGAAAAAAAAAGAAATATGAAATGTCATTGGGGGAAAAATACAAACAACCAAATATCTACTAGCTATACAGTATGATCTCAATCTCTTAGCTCATTTCCCATCCTCCTATTTTATAATTTTACAGAAACAATTCTAAAAATGAGCTTTAATTAAAACATTAGTATCAAAATCACCTCATTTCTTTGGTAAGGTATTATCACAAATAAATAATCTATATTTCTTTAGATATACCTTCTACAGTTATAAACTTTTTATTCTTTAAGGAGACAATCAAGAGATCAATGATTCTAAGAAATCTTGTTGCAGAGGAAAGAATACCCACCATTGTGGGTCTGGGCACATTATCAACAATACCCAGAAGACCCTGTACTACTAGGGTCATTGAGGTCTGTCATCATCATCTATCACAAGAAAACCTGTGCAAAGCTCTCTACTGGCCCAGCACTGAGACTTCTGAGTTGTTCATATGGATAGCTGCGGAGACAAAAAGTGCAAATGACTGGCAAGAGTGGCTGTGTGTTTTCACCTTCTCAGGTTTCCTTCAAAATTTTCTTCTTTCCCCTCTTACATCCTAGTCCTTTTCTCAGAATCTGTTATTAGTAATCTCTATCTGCTTAACTCATGTCATTCTAATGTAAATGAATTTTTACAATGAATTAGAAGAATGAGTTATTAGAAATGATCTACTTGGGTAGTAAACAGGATACATCTACCTGTGACTGATCAGAAGTGACATCTTGAGCATTGAGCTAAGAAAGGTTCTGAGGTTCAGAAGAAAAAAAAAGGACAAGGACTATTTAATCAGTGTCTGCAGGGATAGAAGGGGAAAAGGCTATTATCAGGGAGATTGTCCCCAAAGCCAGGTTCTGATTGTCCCCAAGGCCAGGTCCTGAGGTAAGAAGCAAGACCTCTTTGCTTTGTCATGAAAGCAACTGAGATGGGCTCTGAGATCAAACTGAGTCTGAATCTCAGTTCTTTGACCTTTTAACTGAGTGAACTTTGACAACTTATTTATCTCTGTGCTTTAGTTTTCTCAAGAATAAAAGGATACCTTTTTTTTTCAGCCCAGTAGCTCAGTGTGAGGATTAAAATGAGATAAAGTTCAAGAAGCTCTTAGAACAATATGCTGAGTTGTAGTGAGTGCTAACTACTTCCTAGCTATAATGAGCTGTATTCTATATGTTGCCATGTCAACCTGAATGCTTCATCCTGTATCCTGAAGGCTTCATCTTAAGCCCATTAAAACTAATTTTAAAGGGAAATATTTTTACTCATCCTAAAGAAATACTTTGTCAAAGCTAACAGGTTTAAAAAGATACTGTCTTAGGAAGTGTGTCCTGAAATAATATAATGAATAATGACAGTCTTAGAGTACATGAATCCTATTGGCTCCTTTTCAGTCACCAGAGTAAATAAGGGTAAAAAGAGAAAGTTACTAGGGTCTCTTTGTTGGTCCTACTTCCTTGCTAAGACTGAGGTGGTTTGCTCAATAACATGAGGTAAACCTGTGACCCATCCCTACCTTCATTTTATGATATACTTACAAAAAACGACTTCAATATTGAGACATTTAAGCATTTAAGGACGACAGAAAAAAGTTCTCAAATTTAACCTGAACTAAATACCATTAAAAAGCTAAACCTATCAATGTTGGGTATAGAAGAAAAAGCAGACACAAATTAAAGGTATAGAAAACATAATAAGAGCAGAAAAAATCCCCAAGTCTCAAGAAAGAGATAGTCATAAGTTACCAGGAGCTTTTAGGACTGTATATAGACAAGAATACAAACAAAAAGGAGAATGTTTTATTTAACATTAGGCATACACAACAAAAAAAATTAAAAAATTGAACGCTGGAAGACAGAACTGTCATGTCACCTAGACAGAGGCTAAGCCATCAGAATAATATCTCATTTCTCCACCCAAACTTTAAAGGCAAAGATATATTTCAATTTTGAAAGAAAATAACTGTCAAGCTACATAAATATCCAGCATAACTATCATTCCTAATTGAAGGATAAACAAAAACCTTTTCGGATAAACAAAAGGAATTCATGACCACTATGGCACTGTATAAGATACTTAAACAAATCCTGAATGCAGTAGTACCCATAAGCACACTGAATAAAGCAGACTTTAAACCAAAGTTAGTCTGAAGAGACAAAGCAGATCATTTCACATTAATAAAGTGATCAATAAATCAAGAGGATATAACAATTATATATGTATTAAATGTTAGCACAAACTAGTGGACATAAAAGCACAGATAGGTCTCACAAAATAACAGTGGGTGACTTTAATACTCCAATCTCACCAGTAAATATGTCCAGATAAAAAATAAATAGAGGGGCTGGAAAGGTGGCTCGGTGGTAGTGCTTGCCTTGCATTCATGAGGCCCTGGGTTTGATTCCTCAGCACCACATAAGCAGAAAAAGCTGGAAGTGGCACTGTGGCTGAAGAACTGAGGGACAGCACCCAGGCCCAGACCCCCCCCCCAAAAAAAAGATTGCAAAAGAGAAATAGGTAAGAAAAGTTCTGAGGAATTAGCCTAAATTATCTACAACTTCTTTCAATATTAGTCATGATGGGAAAATAATTATTTCCGGTAGTTTTCTTCTTATTTTCACACACAAGTATGAATTCTACTCCATTATTTCCTTTTTTTCTCCCAAAACAAAGAGAACTTGCAAAAAATACATTGCTGATAAGAAAAATTATTGTGGTTTTAGTTTTGATATATGAACAACACACATATAAATTAACAAATACAAATAAAGATAAATTAAATGAAAATTAAAATTGTAAAAGGAACATTGCTTTCAATTTACATGACAAATCTTGGTCCAGTACACAAGTGAGTAGCATTATTCATATTGTGCAAAAATATACCTATAATCTACTAGAATTAATCATCAAGGATACCACAGATGTACAAATATTTTCATCAACATTATCTCTTAGAAATAATTTTGTAACAATTTAATAAACGTTTTATAAATAATTTTACAAATTCTTGAATAACTGTAATATAGCAATGAAAGCTGCTTATAATAGTTATATAAAATGGCAAAAGAAACAAAAAATTGTTATAATACTGCCTTACTGTATTATTGGGTACTCATTAGAATGAAAAAGCATCCCTATCCTGTCTTGTGTGTTATCTTCTACACATGTACATAAACCCTGTTAAGGTTTACACACACATTTGCTGCACTAAACGTGGTAATGATGAACAGAGTCTGACCATTTGTTTTATATAACAGAGACTAATCTTTTGTTATAGAAGCATTAATTCTAAAATCTTCTGCATGCAATCAAATGGGCTTGCCAGAATCAAACTGAAGCTTGTGAGGAGCAACTTATAATACTATCTGGACACTTATAACCCTATCTGAAGTACTGACCTTATATGCCTGCATGAGCATGTGGATGACACCGGAGGCACCATGGCACCAATGAACCAACCTATCTGTTTCATTACTTAATGAAGATGGATAATTCCCAGATCGAAATTTTTTGTGGCGCACATAATCAATACTAGGTTTCACCATTTCTGTCAAGGTTTCTTGGTCTACATTTGCTGCTGGCTAGAAAGACAGAAAAATTTAACAATTTATTTTTATTGACTTTTTTTTTTGGTTGGTCATGGGGCTTGAACTCTGGGCCTAGGCACTGTCCCTGAACTCTGAGCTCAAGGCTAGTGCTCTACCACTTGAGCCACAGCACCACTTCCGGATTTTTTGCTTATGTGGTGCTGAGGGGTTGAACCCAGGGTCTCATGCATGTAAGACAATCATTTTACCACTGAGCCACCTTCTCAGCCCTATGAGGTGCTAACCACACAGGCCACAGCTGTAATAAGATCTGTTTAACTATGTAGACCTTTTGACTTGGGCCCCAGTTCTTCCTCTACTTAAACCTAATGCCCATGTCTGTACCTTCAAGATGGTTGAAGATGAACTAAAATACCATTTTCTTGTGGCATGCTTATGCCATATAATAAATCTCCTTTCTCTGTCCTTCATTGTGTCTTTCTATTTGGTATGTAGTAGTGAATGTCCAAACTGGATACATTCCTTTCCTATCACTTTCCACTACATGTCACCTCTTGCTGGAATTCTCTCTCCAGACACAAGAATTAAGGAAGAGAGCTGCACTGACTCTACAGCAACATTCCTTGTCCAGAAGGTAGCTCTAGACCATAAGGTTAAAAGCATAGATTGAAGTCGTAATTGGGGCAGGTTTGTGTCTGTCTCATAATGTCAGCTCATAATTTATCAGGAGCAGGGATGACTGAAGGATAAGATCAAAACCACAGCAATAATATCATTAAAAATTTCAAACCGAGCTGACAGCAAACTGGGGGACTTTAAAACAAAGTTTCTTCTTCAAAATCAAGAGCCCTTTATACTCCCAATAAGGTTTTTTTCCCCCAATAAAAAAGTTCCTACTTCAATCAATCACAAGATAGAAAAAGAATAGAAGACAAGTAATCTGGCTCAAAACTACATAGAGCTGGGCACCGGTGGCTCATGCCTGTAATCCTAGCTATTCAGGAGGCTGAGATTTGAGGATTACAGTTCAAAGCCAGTCCCGGCAAGAAAGTCCTGAGACTTTTTTTTTTCTTTCCAAAGGAGTATTTATTTGTAAATAGTTGTTATTTTCTGTCTTAAAATAAATGTTTGAAGCTGTAGTCTTCAAGCCCCTCCATGCCTAGATCCATCCTGGGCTTATGCCTTTTTTTCTACACTTTCATTTTTTAATTTTTGTATATTTATTTTACTATGTTGAAAATGAACTTACAACTTTGGGGGGCGTGGAGGAGTTGGGAAGGTGGGGCGGGAAAGGATAGTAGGTAGGTAATAATGCTTGCTAGGAAATGTACTCATTACCTCACTCATTTAACTAACTCTTGAATCTCTTATCTCCAATAAACCACCAGAAAGTGGCACTGTGGCTCAAGTGGTAGAGCGCTAGCCTTAGAGCTGAAGAGCTGAGGGACAGTGCCCAGGCCCAGAGTTCAAGCCCCACAACCGACAAACAAACAAACAAAAACTATATAGAGCATGTACTCTTAGGAATTCACTTTAATCTATAAAGCAGAGTTTAAGCATCTTTGAGTCAAAGATTCAACTCAGCATTTGTACTACAAATTAAATTCCCCATTTATATATGAACTCATATATTGTAATGTGGTCACTGAATTAGTATTTCAGAGGACTATTATTTACCTGCATTAACATGTAGTAGATTCCAGCCATGCCATGGGCTGCTCCAACATACTGCTTTCTATGCCACTGATACAAGAGGGGGCAGCGCTCAGCTTTTCTTTCATCCCTTGACAAAGTCTTACCTGATTCAATAATAGCACTGACTACCTGCAGAAACAATGAGATTAACACAAATTTAAAAACCTTAAAATCTTACATGCATTTTAGTTCTGGTCTAATTAATAACAATATGTATAGCAGAGAAATTGTTTTTGCTGAAAAGTACTGATGCCTTACTTGAGCCTATGAATTAACTGAAAATAGAAGGAAAGCTTGGCATCTTTGCCTCCATCAGGGAGGGAAGGAAGGAAAAAGGGTACGTGCATGCATGTGCATGCGTGCATGTGCACACACACGTGTGTGTGTGTGTGTGTGTGTGTGTGTGTGTGTGTGTGTGTGTGGCAAGAGAACAAAAGAGAGTGAGAGAGATAATCTTTTTTTTTTTTTTTTGTCAGCCATGGGGCTTGAACTCAGGGCCTAGGTGCTGTCCTTGAGCTTTTATTTTGCTCAGGGCTAGCACTCCACCTCTTTGAGCCACAGTGCCACTTCTGGTTTTCTGGCAGTTAACTGGAGATAAGAATCTCATGGAGGGCTGGGAAGGTGGCTCAGTGGTAGAGCACTTGCCTTGCATGCCTGAGGCCCTGGCCTCAGTACCACATAAGCAAAAAGAAAAAAGCTGGAAGTGGCACTGTAGCTCAAGTGGTAGAGCGCTAGCCTTAAGCTGAAGAGCTGAGGGACAGAGCCCAGGCCTAGAGTTCAGGCCCCATGACCGGACTCCCCCCCAAAAACAACAACAACAACAACAACAACAACAAAAGAATCTCATGGACTTTCCTGTCTGGGCTGGCTTCAAACCCTGATTCTCAGATCTCAGTCTCCTCAGTAGCTAGGATTACAGGGGTGAGCCAGCAGTACCTGGCAGAGATTAAACATTTTTAAGCAGTAGTTAACAATGCTATTTTTATTTTAGAAATTAATAAATTTAGAGAGAGAAGAATCAGAAGACAATGCCTAAGTAGAAAATGACAATAAGAAGCCTAACCAAGGAATCAAAAATTATTTGCTTAATAAGTTTTCTAAAAAAAAAAAATACCTAAATCCCACGAGACTCTTACCTGCAATTAACCACCAAAAAGTTGTAAGTGGTAGTGACTAGTCTTGGACAATGTCCAGGCCCTGAGTTCAAGTCCTAAGACTGGCGTGCGCGCGCGCGCACACACACACACACACACACACACACACACACACACACACACACACGCGCGCGCTCGCGCGCGCTAATGAAAACAAAAAAGAGCTGGTGTTGTAGCTCAAGTGGCATAGTGCCTGCCTGGCAAGTACAAGGCTCTGAGTTCAAACCTCAGTACCACCAAAAAGAAAAGAAAATTGTTCCAGACTTAATTGCTTTGTAGCTACATGGTTTTCCCAAAAAACTGGCATCTCCAGGACAGAACTATATTTACAAGAAGCCAATGAATGAGGTCTGTTGGAGAAAAGGGGTTTTAGTTAAATCCAAAGGAAATCATGTCTGGAATTACTAAATTTCCAGTTTTTTCATATCCATGCTCCTCTCATCTTTTTAGAAACCTACTCTAAGTTTTAGATGAGAATCTAGTTACCTGGCCAAGAACAACTAAACATAGTCTTTTGACTACGTTCTGGCAATGAGATGTGAGCAGAAATAAAATGAGCAACATATAAACTTCCTGACAAAAGGAGCTGTTTCTCCTCCACTTTCTCATTCCCTTTTTTGCACACATTTGTTTATACTGTCGAAGGGAGACCAAGACAGAAGATGGATATCTGGCTATATTCTTCAGAATATCTCATAAAACAGAATTGAATTTCTAGCTTTTTCAAAGAGTTACTATTTGGTTCCAGTAAAACCAGCTGAATCAATAAAGGATGAAATGGGAAGGGGAAACAAAGGAGGAAGCAACAATACTTGATAAGAAATGTACTCATTATCTTGCCCATGTAATTGTAACCCCTCCATACGGTAATTTCACAATTAAAAAAAGGATGAAGAAGAATATAGATTTAAAATATACACACATACACACATATATGTATATGTATATATATTCCTAAGAAGATACTATTTTTTTTACAATTTTAAAAGTAAATCATACATAGAAGCAGAGTCCAGAGACAAACATAGCTTTGGGTACCCACAGGTTCAGAAACACAATATACCTCCTTAATAGCAGATTCACACACAGTTCCTGGGCCGATCTCTGTGTTCAGGTACAATAAGGCATATAGATAACCTGCCCGTCCATAAAGCAGTTCATCAGGAAGCTCTGACTCTTGGCAGATAACTGTTCTGTGAAGCTGCAAAAGTCTAACCAACAAGAAAAAGTCAGTTTTCCTAGCAAATACCTAATATGCCTTTTGACCTGAAATAGTAATGCTATCACTTTAGAAATTAACTCTTAGTCTTAAGTTAAAACTAAGATTAAAACAAAATGCCTTAAAATCCATAAAACAATGTTCTACAAAGTTCTACCTTTCACCAAACGCAAACTGACTGAGGTCAGTGCCAGACATAACCAGTGAGCCCTGCTTTCTGCTTCTTCAAGACAACAAACCAATCCATGCAATTTAAGTTCCTTAATTGTTCCCTCATTAGCATTACTACTCAGGTCAAGGTTGAACCTGAGATTAGTTATTCTTACATTATTCTCAGAAGTCTATAGGCCTAAGAAATTTACATGTATTGAGGGCGAACAAAATTTGTTAAGAAAAAAATGGTTAAATCTCCTTAATTAAAGCCATGAGGCTCATGCCTGGGTTACACAGTCCATTAACATTCAAACCACTTCCTTCTCAGACAGATAAATTTGATTAGGTTTTTTCCCCCTCTTTTTATTATTACTAAGTGGTTGTATAAAGAGGTTATAATTCTATGTCAGGTTGGAGTATAATGCTTCTTGGTAAATGTCACTCCTTCCTTTGTTCTCCCCCATTTTCCCCTTCTACCCACCCTCAAGTTAAATAGTTAATTTTTCACATTCTGTACATTGAATATGACAGTTTGCTCGTTTTTCCTCCCCGACATCCATGTGCCCCTCCCTTTTTCCACCCCCCCCCCCCAAAAAAAACATTTTTCTACTTTTTGGTATTTATTTTGATAAACAATACTTTAGTTGTTCAGGTGTTATGCCTTTGTATTCTTCCTCTAGGTGTAACAACCTTTAGTCTGTGTGTAAATACACTGAGCCCTGTATATGTTATGATGCATAGTATAGATTTAACATCCACATATGGGCGCAAATATGCACTGTTTGTGTCTCTGAGCCTGGCTTACCTCACTTAACATGATTTGTTCGAGGTCAATCCATTTCCCTGCAAATGATATAATATTATTCTTTCTAATAGATGAGTAAAATTCCATTGTATACATGTACTACATTTTCTTGATTCACTCATCTGTTGTAGGGGATCTGGTCTCTTTTCATAGCTTGGTTATTGTGAACAGTGCAGCAATGAACATGGATATGTAAACATCTATATGATATCCTGGCTTGTAATGCTCTGGGTAGATGCTCAAGAGTGGTATTGCTGGATCACTGGGTAGTTCAGTTTTTTGGTGCATTCCCAACCAACTTTGAAGTGGTTGTTTTAGTTTACTCCCACAAACAGTGTAACAGGGTTCATTTTTCCCCACATCCTTACCAGCATTTGTTATTTTTGAGTTTTCTGTGCTGGCCACTCTTACTGGGGTAAGATGGAATATCAATGCTGTTTTGATTTGCATTTCCTTTATGGCCAGTGATGTCGAGTACTTCCTCATGTGCTTATTGAACATTCTTATTTTTCTGAGAAATCTCTATTTAGCTCTTTTGCCCATTTATTAATTAGGCTACTAATTTTGAGGGGGTTTAGTTTCTTGTGCTCCCTGCATCTTTTGGATGTTAGGACCTTGTTGGACATTAACTGGGAAAGTTTTTCCTCGTTGTCTTTTTAGTTCAGTAACTATGTCCTTAAGCTGTGCAGAAATTTTTTAATTTGATATGATCCCATTTGTCAAGTCTTTTTCCAATTTGCTGTGTTCCTGAGACTTTCTTCAGAAAGTTCCTGTCTATGCAATAAGTTCTAATGTTCAGTAGGTTAGTCAAAAAAATAGCTTACTTAAAAATATTTAAGTTCAAAATTAATATTTAAAATATTAAAACTGAAACATGAGTTTCAAATAAGAATTTGGCAATAACATTTCCAGTTTTTAAAAATCTTACTTTGTGTTGGGTGCTAGTGGCTCACTCCTATAATCTAGCGATTCAAAAGGCTGAGTTCTGAGAGTCACCCAGTCCAAGCAGCAAAATTCATGGCACTCTTAACCACCAAAAAGCCAAAGTGGCTCATGTAGTACAGCGCCAGCCTTGAGGGAAAAAAATCTAAGGAACAGTGCTTGGGCCCTGAGTTCAAGGACTAGTATCAGCACAACAACAATAAAATCTTACTTTGTGATGCACTCCCGAGACTCACTCTCACTTTTGAGTTTATGATAAACCACAGCTCCCACAGCAAGAGGACCAGCATCTCCACATAGGAAAGTGACTCTTCGACCATTCAGATTCCGAAGTGTCCTCTTTACATAATCCAGAGATCGGAGTAGGTAGGTCTGGTCACAAGTGACCCGGTATAGCTGCAGGTACAAAAGGGCTATGCCTGGAATAGAAAAGCATTACTACTAAAAAATCTTCAGGATATTATTTTGTAATCACAAGAAATTCCCTTTTTTATATGAACAATCAATTTCTGAGGGGCAACATCAAAAAGTTCATATATATCTTAGAAATGAAAAAAAGAGGTCAGAAAGATAGAAAAATAAAACAAACAAAAATCAGTACCTTGCTAATTGACCTGGCACAGTGATTCAATGCCTTATTCTTAGACAAGAGAAAACATATCAAGGACCTACTCATTCTAATTAATTTTCACTCATTTTAAGTTTGTATTTGATTTCCTTTGTATCTCAAGCTAAATGGATTTTTTGCTTTAGTTCCCAGAAAACAAATCATCTTTCATTTTATCCAAATTTAAGTAGTTACTTCTCTTGATTTTATCCTTTCTACATTTTCTATTTTCATTCCCCCCACCCCCAATTTTGTTTAGTGACCAAGCCATTCAGTTGATCAACTAACCAGTAAGGCAGATCACTCATTATGGAACACCTACCATATTCAGAAGACAGTTACCAGTACAGTGGGTATAGTTATCATCTACCCAACCCTCCATTTCAGATTAAAGAATAGAACCAGATCTTTAAATGAACTACAGAAGAGGTCTTCATCTAAAAATATTTGGAGAATGACCTGCATGGTTCTTAAAGAAACACAGTCTACACTGGGTGCTGGAGGGTCCTGCCAGTAATCTTAGCTATTCAGGAGGCTCTGCCTGAGCAGGAAAGGGATGAGACGCTTATCTCCAATTAACAACCCAAAACCAGAAGTGGAGCTCTTCTGTTTGAACTCCATGAGTATGTGTGTTCTAATTTTCAAAAAATAAAATTTGGATAACATATGTAAGCATACAGAAAAACAAGAGTTAAAAGCTAAAGACTTATGAATTCAAAACATAATAGTCATTGAAAAAAACATACGAATAAGTACTCCCTGACTGAGAACTTCTCAAAACAGGATGCTGACTGGTAAACCTGAGGAACACAACAGCCTATCATCATATGCAAGTATTTGAAAGTAAAAAGAGGACAAGTAAAATGGTCATTATGTTTTATAATTTTGTTGTTGTTCAAAAGCAGACTAGATAAGATGAACTTTGGCAACCAGGCATAGAAGTAAGGCATAAAGAGATGAATGAGCTAACAGTCCTGATTAGGTTTCAGTCTCTGGTCAGTCTGTGCTCTAGACTGTGAATGTCACTATCCCCTGTCTGCTCCCCCACCCCCCTTTTCCCCTCCTCCTGCAAAAGGTGTAAGGATATCCTCCAAAACTCAGTGCAATGACTTGGTAGAGCTCCTGGGAGAACAAAAGTGGAAGGCCCTTATGACTAGATATCCCTGGAATTCTTATCTCTCAGATTTGTCCACAGTTAGCATCCAAGAATTTGTCAGGTTTTCCTGTTGTCAAATGAAAATTAGGGAAGGTCACTGTTTCGGATTGAGCTTCTGCATGAGGCCCCAGGAGAGCAGACCAAACCAATACGGAGTCACTTATACAGAGGCAGGACAGACGAGGTACATAGAACATGAGAAATAGAAATCAGAATTCAAAAGTAAGCATTATATTGATGTTGAAGCTGACTAGAAACACACAGCACTGGTTTCTTTTCTTTCAACTTCAGACTACTTCCCTAAGTAGTGTAACAAAGACCTCCCCTATCCAACTCTGGTCTTATTTCACCTACGGATGAAATAAGCATACCTTCAAGAAAATATCCCAGTTTGTTCCCTCCTTCTTTGGAAAAGTGGTCATTCAAAGTCACAAGAAGCAGAAGTCTAAGCATCCAGAATTAACTAGCTCATACTGAAGGTCTCCAGGCCAAGCTGATAATAATGGAACACTGCATAAGGATTGAGATATACTAGGTGCCTCGGTCAAAGGAGATCATTTTTCTTAAGGATGGTAGAAGTGAGGGGATTCCCTCCCCCTCACTTTTCCAGGTCATTTGAGTTCTTCCTTTCCTATGCTTTGCCTATGAAGCATATCTGTTCTTTTCTCTACTTGCTGTTAAGTCTCTTGCCCTGCATTTCTGCTGAAACCTCTCTTTTTTTCTGCAGAAAACTTAAGGGATGAATAGAAGACTCCCTTTTCCTTCTTTCAGGGAACCCAAGACCCTCACCAACCATTAGTATCAATGGTAAATATTACATAATCCAAAACTTTAAGGAAGCAGAGAGAGCTATTATTCCTGGAAATAGGAGATGCCAACCTACCTTAGCCTACTAAGCAAAGTCCTCTAAAAACCCCTCCAAAACTTCAATTAACTTGGTGTTAACCAAACAGCTTTTGTCCTATTGTTCTGTTTTCTTTCTCCCAACTTCAGAAAGCCCAAGGTAGTGCCATTGCCAACTGGGATTTGGAGCTGTAGAATGGAATTTCCTTGACTTATGGATCTATGGAATGTCTTGTCTTTTGGCACTACTCTAAGTACTGGTTCCTGGTTGTTGGGGCAAAGTAGTTTGCACTTTGTGGCTACCCTTCTCTGATGATCTAAGGGAGTTGATTTTTCAATTTGTTCAGTTTTTTATGATACAATGATGACTTCTAAACTTCTTATGTTCCTGTTAAAGAGTTTGTCCCAATCCTCTGAAAATAACTCCTAGCCTATTACTGTGGGAAGGTCGGATGAACTCTGCCACTCCTGGATGCTTTAACTTTGCTTATCTGCTATATTACTGTGGCTTTCCATAATCCCTTTACTCTTCACTCTTGTGTGTCATAGTTTTGCTGAAGGAATAAACTGTGGATGCTGTATTCATTGCTCTTATTTGTATAAGGAGAAAAGATGGAAAGGCAGTGACTTGAGCTAAATCCATACTTCTATCTGAATTCCAAAGCCCTACTATTATTTTGTTGTTTTTTTGGAGGAAGGAGACATCCTAGGGCTTGAACTCAGGGCCTGGGTACTGTCACTGAGCCTTTTTGCTCAAGGCTAGCACTCTACACTTGAGCTACAGCTCCACTTCTGGCTTTTTTGGAGCTTAGTTGGAGATCAGGGTTTCACAGAGTTTCCTGCCCAGGCTGGCTTTGAACCACGATCCTTAGATCTCAGCCTCCTAAGCAGCGAGGATTCAGGCGTGAAACACAAGTATCTGGCCTCAAAGCCCTACTATCTTAAACCATTAAAACTAAATCCTTCATGATGATTCTACCATGATTCCAGAAGATGAGGATTTTAAAGAAAGTTCATGACCAGAGCTTCTAGTGACATCATTATAAAGCTCTCTCAATGACTTAGATGCACAGTCTGATTGATTCTTAACAGTCAGGGAATTAAAAACTCTTTTCAACAGAGGAAATGCCATAAGTGAAAGACTTTTTAGAGAAATCTGTGCTACTAATAGCTATATAATTTTTTCCTCCCTAAATATATTTTCCTCCCAAATTTATTCTTTGAGTTTACTTCTGGTTAACCAAAAATGACTAATTTTACATTCAGGATAAATTTCTTTGGCTTTGTAAATGAACTGGGTTCAAGTGTGTCTGGATTTAGAAATCTGAAACAATTAATTCTAATATTACTATGTAACTGCTATATTCATAAAAGGCAAATAAATTAAATATCACTGAAATGAACATAATTACTAGAAATAGAAACAGAATTTAAAATTATTAGGACTATTATGTTTGGATATATATCACAAAACTAGGTGTCAATTCATGGTAGCTCTAACACATTATAACTCTTTTAGCTATTCATTAATTTGGCAAGAATAGGTTCTAAAATTATATGTAAATCTTTAGCAATTTAATCAGATTTTAGTCTAATCCCTGAGAACAAGATCTCTTTTTTCTTTTTAAATAAAATAAGCCAAATGGTTATTATAATGTTCTACCTATCTGTTACAACAGTATAAACATAAAAATTAAAGCAACTGAATTTTTAAATGAAGAAATGTTTGCTGTTATTGTGAAGTGTACTACTAATAACTTATTTTGCTGTTATAACTAAAATGAAAGTTAAAACCATTTTTGTATAAATGATACAAACAATACAAGAAATAGGGAAAAAGATTGAGAGACACCAGAGAAACCATTCAAAGTTGTTGCAAATGCTTACGCAACAACAACAGAAAAAGAAGAAGAAAAAAACACAACCAATATAAAACTCGATCTTACGGTAAATTTGTTCTTAATACACATTTTCACATCTATATGTTAGATTATGTAAATGTTATGAAAATATGACACATTTCCTATTAAAGACCAGAAAACATTTTTAAAGAAATAAAACCCCAAAACATCTCATCAATGAAGATATAGTTCAAGATTTCATTTCAAGTATATAATTCATTACCATTTTCGAAGAAAGGAAAATTTCAAAGTCAAGTGAAAAGAAAATTTCAAGGCCAATTGTTACATCTCATAATCCACAAATAAAACACATCAGCAACTCATATTCCACACTCTTACCTGTCCAGCCAGTGTAAGCAGAGCAATCATGAGGGTCAGCTGTCTTGAGTCCTTCTTCCATTTGCTGTAGAAGATCTTTGATTTTGGTCTGGATCCTCCTTACGAAGCTATGAATAAGCTAAGAACCAAAAACAGAGAGAATTATTATGTTTATACATGAATAGGACAATGTTGTAATAAAAAATTACACAACATATCTTATTAGGCCAATTTCAATGCCTCTTTGGCTAGAGTCTACCCTGGTTTTTTATAAGGCTAATATACAACAAGTATAGCCTGTATGGATTACTCATAAGTAGTATCACAAAAAATAATTTATAGAAACCAAGCAAAAAAGTAGAAAGGAAAAATAATCAGATTATTTGACTACAAACACATTTTAGGTTCATGGTAAAGAAAGAAAATGGTTTTAAAAATTAATGACAAAGAAGAAACAATTGAAATATAAATATCATAAATAAATAGGATAGAGCAGTCAGTGTCAGTGGATCATGCCTGGAATCCTAGCTACCCAGGAGGCTGAGATCTGAGGGCTGCAGTTTGAAGCCAGACTAGGGTGAGAATCTTATCTCCAATTAACTATCAGAAAGCTGAAAGTGGAGGTACAGCTCACATGGTTGAGCACCGACCTTGAGCAAAAAAGCTAAGGGACAGTACCCAGGACCTAGTACTGGTATACGTGCATGCACACACGCGCGCGCGTGCACACACACACACACACACACACACACACACAAAGATACAGACACATACTATATATACTGTATATGTGTGTATGTATATATTTATAATAGGAATAAATCCTAAATTATATAAGAAAATCAAATGTACAAAAATATTAAATTATTTGATGACTAATGAAATACAAATAAGTACCATAGTTTACCTATCAGATTAATAAAAAGGAAAATTTTACAAAAACTAAGTCCCAGAGTTCCTAAATGCCTAAGCCTTATTCACTACTGTAATTTTTTAAAAGAGATATGTATAACATTTTAAACTATTCAGTTGATAGTGTTAGGATCCTTTCCACCTTCGTTGATTTTTAAAAGCCTACTGTTTACATCATATGCTTAGGGTCTTAAAATCTGCTATAGAAGCCAGGTACCATAATCCTAGCTACTCAGGAAGCTGGTATCTGAAATTTAAGAATGTGGTTCGAAGCCAGCCCAGGCAGGAAAAGTCCAAGAGACTATTATATCCAGTTAACCACAAAAAGCCAGAAGTGGAATTGTAGCTCAAGTGGTAGAACACTAGCCTTGAGCAAAAGAGTTCAATTTCCATGTAATTAGGGCTTTTGGGGAAATTTTTATTCAAATTTGGAATTCTAGAATGAAATTAAGAATTAATTGAATACTGACTATACAGTGAGAATTTCAGAAGTTTACTTTACTCTGGTGGTACGTGCTACACATTTCCAAAGAGGGTAGGAAAAACTAGACAATCTCTAACTCGTAACATTGCATGCAACAGACTTGTCTTTTGCACACAGACATTCCAAAGGGTTAGGAGTTAGGCAATTTCCACAGAAATTCTCTCAGAGGAGGACAGGGAGAAAATTGCCTTTAGTTTCTATCTAAGTGTTTACTGTTTATCCTTGCTCTTTCATTCTTGGAACCAACTTCGGGAGCTAACCTCTGCTAGATTCAAACTTTTCTTCTGCAGCTTCCTCTCTTCTCTTAGGCTTCATGGAATTGAAGAAACTCAGGGCCTTACTCTGGGTTAAGTTTTGACTTAAGAAAACATTTGTACTCATCTGATCTTTTATCCAGACCACTAAAACTTTCTTCATACCAGCTTTAACATTCATGTGTTCACTAGAGTAGCACTTATAACTTCCTTCAAGAATATTTCATAGGTATATATTTAAATTTAAATTCCTAGTCAATCATAATGTTAAAATAATCTTCTTTTGTAGGGTTGGGGACCCTGTGGCCTGAGTATAAAGACCCATAAAATCATTTGGCATATAACAGACAAACATATGCTTCTCATTGGCTATTGACTACACATCTGTCTACATTGATAATTTTGTATTGCTTGCTATTAGTGTTATAAAAATCTAAATGATCCTTGGCATAAGAAATGTTCCCCACTCCTATATGGGAAAAGATGAGCTAGAAATTGAAAGCTAATGGCAAGTTTTTGAACATCATTAAATTGGGCTGTAGGCATGGGTCAAGGGGTATAGCTCTTGATTAGTAAGTGTGAGGCACTGGATTGAATCCCTATGACTAAACAACAAATATCTTTATAAAGATGCTTACTTATGAAATGATAAAGGCACTACACAAATAAATGTAGTAAAATTGAATATAGTCCATGACATATCACTATTCTCTAGGATAATGCTAACCAAATAATAGATTTCACTTTATCATTTTTGATGACTTGAAATACTTCCTACAGTTTTGATGATATGGGTATGAATGTATTTTGCTTTGATAATAAATATAGCAACAAGAATGACTGTCTGATTCCCCATTCAATCACTTAATAACTTTTTATGCCAAGTTAATCAACTTAAGTCTCCTGAATCTTGTCCTTTGGATCCTATTATAATCAAAGAGATGCAGAATAATCTTTGAAAAGAAAGTCCTTTGAATAAGTCTTGAAAAGAATAAAAATTGAAGTACAACTTAATAGAGCCCACAAGGTAGTACCTGGCTCACATCTATTCACTGTAACTGTTAAAAAAAATCAGAATTATGTTTATATTCAGAACAATGATTGCATTTATGCCCCAGAATAGTCATTTTCTTTGCTACACTGCCTTATGAGAAAGGGCAGTCATGTGAAACTTCTCATCAATTATACCAAAATGTAAGTCTTCCAGAAGAACCTGGAAGATTCTTGTTTTTCTTGATCAAAGCAAAAAACACAGGACTCACTTTCTTGGTTTTTCTCCCCTCCCCCTGCTGAAAACTTGGGCATGACATCTGTTGCTACAGCTGCCATCTTGTACTATAAATACAAGAACAGATATGACAGAAAGACCAAAACAACTGCATAAACACTAGGATTTCAGCTAATCAATACCAAAAATTGTTTACTTCTAAACTGCTTGGTACATGAGGAAAAATAATCTAATTAAGACATTGCTAAACTGCCAACTTCTTTTTATTTCCCATGGTGCTTTGGTTTGAATTTCAGACCTTGAGCTTACTAGCTTGGCACTCTGCCATTTGAACCATGCCCCAGCCATACTTTTTGATGATTATTTTAAGATGGAGTCTAGTGGATTTTCTGGCCAGGTTGGCCTTTAACTACCATCCTCTGGACCTTAGAGAAGGATCACAGGCATGTGCCACTGGCCCTTGGCTCAAGGGTTCTGTGTCTTATAGTGAATATAAACCTAACTCACATTCATATGAAGTCAGTTCTCATAATAACTATTTCAAAGCATATGCTGTAAAACTTGAATTTCTCACAAATGCTATGAGTGTGTATATGTATGTATATATAAATTTATTTTAATTTTTTTTTGCAGAGCTGAGAACTGAATTCAGAGCCTGGCAAGTGTTCTTCCACTGAGCTATATCCCCAAGCCCAGTAGTGTATTTTAAAGGCATATTTTACTCTAGTTCCCTTTAATATATAGCAAACCTTTATCCTTTGCTCTAAAATACAATCTCTAATCCTTTTTTCCCTTAAATATCTTTATCTTACTATATAAATGAGATTTATAATTTGTTTATATTGGAGCTGAAGTCTCCTAAACAGAGGAAGTTGCCAATGCTAATCAATTCTACAACCATTTCCATTTGATGGAAATTACTGTACCAAGAGAAATTGTAACTGGTTCATCTAATTAAGTAATGGTATTATTATAAAAATAACTTTAAGCACTCAGGTGCTCAGCAGTAAGAGTTTTACATGATATTTCCATCAGTCTTCTCATTACCCAGTAATTCTCAGTTTTTTAGGTAAGAAAGTGATTTTACTTGAGGATACATCACAAAAGAAGACAGAGCTCGGGGCTGGGAAGGTGGCTCAGTGGTAGAGTGCTTGCCTTGCATGCATGAGGCCCTGGGTTCGATTCCTCAGCACCACATAAGCAGGGAAAAAAAAGCCGGAAGTGGTGCTATGGCTCAAGTGGTAGTGCGCTAGCCTTGAGCTGAAGAGCTGAGGGACAGCGCCCAGGCCCAGAGTTCAGGCCCCATGACCGGACCCCACCTCCCCCCTCCCCCCCCACCCCCTACACACAAAAAAAAAACAGAGCTCTTGTAGCCCTACTTTTATTTTATATTTGCATTTACCTTTAGAATTTGAGACTTGCACCTTTACTCACTCAAACTATATGAATATGAGTATACATGCTACATACAATGCATACTTTTGGAGTTATTATCTCTTAAATAGATTTTATTTTTCTACATGGTAGACTACATCTAATATTCCAAATGATGCATATTTCATTCATACTTATGACAAGATTTTATTTTTCCTCCTGACAGTGTTTCTTCATGGCAATAAATCTTAGAATTCATATGGAAGCTGGGTGCCTGTGGCTCATACCTGTAATCCTACCTACTACTCAGGGGGCTGAGATCTGAGGATCATGGTTTAAAGCCATCTGGGTAGGAAAGACAGTGGGACTCTTATCTCCAAGTTACCGCCAGAAAACTGAAAGTGGAGTTGTGGCTCAAAGTGGTAGAGTACTAGCCTTGAGCACAAAAACCGGGGGATAGTACCTGAGCCCTGAGATTCAGCCCCAGGACTGGCACGCGTGCATGCACACACACACACACACACACACACACACACACACACACACACACACACACACACACACACACACACTCAGATGGAAGAGATTCCTTGGTAAGAAGATGAGAAAAAAGCAGGGGCAGGGGAGTAAGCTAGACAGACAGAAGAGAAAAGGAAAGGTACAAAGACAATGGATGATAAGTGCACAAATTAACCCAGTGTATTCTTGACAAAATGCCTTGGGAAATTAAGTTCATCCTTAGCCAATACACATTTTCCATGGATTTCACAAGAATAATTAAATAGAATAACTATTTCCAAATTGGTCATTTCCTCATGTAGCTATAGGGAAAGAATGCTGAAACCAACCGAGGCCAAGTCACATTAAAGAGACATTACTTGAGTCCCATCTCCTCCCTAGTACCCTCACCCGCCATGGCTACTCCTTATGGCTAATTATTAATCAGTTTGAGGTAATGGACTTCTCTCTACAGTAGAAAACCTTAGAGCCAGTTCTAACCAAATTGGGCTTGACCTTTGCACAACAAACATCTACTTAAGGCTTCATGCATATAGGTTGAATCTTACGCATATATTTAAAACTACGCGATCAGATCCTTTCCAAAAATCTGTCAAGTCATGATCCCTCACTTCCCTAAGAACAGCCCATACCACTACTATTAACTTCTCCCATACCTACTGGACCCCAGAAAGCTGAAATTTTCTTAATCATGCATACTCTTGAGCTACTTAGCTCAAGCCAGACATTTCCCTTAACTGTGTAGTTTCTCTCTGTTAAAGTCTACATGTCCATGCCATTTAGTTCATTTTGGTTTAGTTTAGTTTGCTTTCTTGCAGTGTTGAGGGGACTGACCTTAAACCAGAATCCTCCTACCTCTATTCTCCAGTATTACAAGAATTATAAGCCTGCATCATCAGACCAGCTTGTTGTTTTTTTTTTAAATAAGTTCTCACTTTACTGTTTATTCAGTGACCTCTAATAGTGTGATTTTCCAAGATCTGCTTTCCAAGTAGCTGGGATTGCAAGCATGATCCACTACACCTAGCATTTGTAGTTATTCTATTTATTTATTTACTATGGGCTATGTATGTATTCCTGTATGTATGTACATATGTATTTAGGATAGGGTCTCAGTATGTTGCCCAGGCTATCCCTAAACTCCTGAGCTCAAGTGATCCTCATGCCTCAGCCTATTAGATAAATTACAGCCTATTAGATAAATTATCTGCATGGAGGGTGTTCATTAATGAGGAAAAATTGCATTTCTTTGAGAAGTTGAAAAGCACTGATTTCTTTATATTTTCATACTATATTAAGATGTTAAATAAATTTAGAAATTAAAGAGTATCTACTTTTAAACAAAGATATAGAAAATTTAATAACTTCAAGATAAGCTGGACACTGATGGTTCATGACTGTAATCCTGGCTACTCAAGAGGCTGAGATCTGAGGTTGGATTTTTAAAGCCACCTGGGAAGGAAAGTCCATAAGACTCTCATCTTCAATTAACCACCAAAAAGTTAGAAGTGGCACTCAACAAGAGCCAGTCTTGAATGAAAAAGTTAAGGGACAGTGCCCAAGTCCCAAGTTCAAGCCCCAGTTACCACCACCACCCCCCTACCCCCCACACCCACCCCTCCACGTCCCCCCCCCACACTTATAAGAATTTCCAATAACTCAAGATTATGCTGAATTGTAAATATCAAGTAGAAGTTTGTCTGATATCATTTTTCTATGGAAAAAATCCAGGAGAGAAAAACTAGGAGACAGCAAAGGAAGGAAGAGGTAACATTGTCCAAAAGGAAATGTACTTATTACCCAATTTAGGACACAGTAACCCCTCCGTACATAACCTTTATAATAACAACAACAAAGAAAAACATTTAATTTGGAAAAGTTTGAAAATCCTTCAAATCTATTAAGTCCTTCAGAATTGGTTTTATGTACCATTTTTTTCTCAATCCTGTGCTATTCACAATCCATGTTCTCTAGCCAGGCTCATTTCTTGGCAGTCTTCTGATATGGTGTGAAATCTCTGAAGTCTTTGCCTATGCGGCTCTCTACCTCCACCTGGCGACTCACCACATATGCTTCAAGGGCAACAGAAATGCCATCTTTACCTGAAAAGCCTTCCCTGGTGCGAATGGGCAAGATTATCTCTCCTCCCTTGTACTTTCATGATATATTTACACAATCTCACTTACTGTAACACTTTTTGCACATTTTTGGTGGGTACATTTCCAGCAAGTTCCACTGGCACAGTATCATAGTCATTTCTCTACTAGTCATGCCTTCTTCAGCCTTATGATCTCAGCCTTGGTTCAGGTTCTGAATGGCCTAGATTGACATTCTGTTGACTGATAGTATATTACTGTTGAAGTTGAAAGCAGATTCTCCTAATTCCACTTGATATTTTAAAATGGCTGCAGCTTTTAGACAGTCAGCTGACCTATAATATGAAAGTCTGGATACCCAACCCTCAGGTGTTATGGAAGAAATAAGTGTTCACAGGGTCACTGAGCTTGAGGGAAAATTACTACATGGTACAAGGTAAGTAGTAAGAGGAGTCTGTTTCCTGGGTGTCCTCTCAGCATAGGGCTACACTTCTACCCTGTATTAGCATATTCTCAAAAGTTCTCTTTACAACTGAGGCAGTCTCTCATTGCTCCAGTCTCATTCTGATTAAGAAAATTTATTTGTACTAACTCTACCTACTAAATTCTGTGGGATTTCTATCCCAATTGGACCTTAATATACACTAAATAAGGCTGATATAGTACAAAGAAGAACTTGAGGAACTAGTAGTTGGGCCAGCCATGATGGTTCACATCTGTAATCCCAGCTACTGCGGAGATTGGTAGGACGGTAGTTCAAGCTTAGTACAGAAAAAAGGTTATTAGGAGCCCATTTCAAAAAATAAGCCAGGGATTAGAGAGCATGCTTTTAATCCCAGCTACATTGAAGTTGTAGGTAGGAGGATTGTAATCCAAGATGGGCCCCACCAAAACCCTATCTTAAAAAAAAAAATAACCTAAAAGACCTGACTGAATCAGCTGAGTGCTTACCTTGTAAATCCAGGCCCTGAATTCAAGCTCAAGTACCACCAAAAAAGAAAAAAGAAATGTATTGGCTTAATCATGATCTACCTCTAGGAGCAGGGTTCAATTCCCCTGAAGCCTATGGCTGTAACAATTTCAAGTAAAGCAAAGAAAGGAAATGACTTTTTTTGTGTGTGGGTCATAGGGCTTGAATTTAGGGGAAAAAGCTATTACTTTGAGCCAGAGCTCTATTTCCAGTTTTCTGGAGACTAACTGGGGATAAGAGTTTCACAGCCTTTTCTGCTTGGGTTGGATTTGAACTGCAATCCTCAGATCTCAGCCTCCTGAGTAGCTAGGATTACAGTTATGAGCCACCACATTGGCTAGAAAATGACTTTTAAGATAATTATTAATAGTATTTGCCATTAAAGAAACATTTATTAAACTGATTAGCTGCTTTTCATAACAGTTGGAGCCAGGTTGCAAAAAAAAAAAATACTACAAAAAGCCTACTTACGGAAATACATTAGAAGAATCAGACTACTCATTATAGTCAAAAGATGGAAAAAATACACACACATATACAATGGAGTATTATTCATCCCTAAAGAGTGCATTGTTTGCAAGAAAATGGATAGAAATGGAAATCATGTTAAGTGAAATAAAGCAGACTGAGAAAGACACACACTGAATGTTCTGGTAATAGAAATCTAGACCTAAAAAAAAAAAAGAAAGAAAGAAAAGTGAAAAATGGAAGGGGGAAATCCTTGACAATATAGGCATAAGAAACACTTTTCTAAATAGGATTCCAAGTGCTAAAGAAATAAGAGTAAGCAATGACGAGGATGAAGGTAATCAAATCGAAAAGCTTCTGGACAGCCAAAGAATGACCCGAATGGAGCCAAACCCACACAACCCACAGAATGTGAGAGGACGAAGGACTGTTTAGGGATGAGATCAAGAGGGGCGGAGGGGAAAGGGAAGGGAGTCACGGAGCCCCAGGGAGTGGTGGGGGGGCGACGGGACAGGCACGACGCACACTCTCCTGAAAAATGCAGAGAGAACAGGTGGTCTTTGTGTGAGTCCTGCAGTTCTAGAGGACGGGGATGTGCCCGCAGGTTTCGGCTGGTAATAAAGTCTGCCTGTCTCACTGCCGCTACCACAGTGACAGTCACTTCCTGAGGTCCAGACACAAAGCGTGTTTCAGAGCGTGGTGCGCCCACACAGCTTCTACCGGCGCTACCGAGACAACAAGGTCAGGGGCTTTGCACGCCGTCTCCTTGACAACCGACCAGCCCAGGTCCCTGGACCCGGCGCGCGGTGGCGAGACGAGGCGTGGCGCGCCCGGGTGACGTCAGCGCGCCGCCGGGCGGAGCAGGTGGACGCTACCATTTGTTGCCCCCCCCCCCCCCCCACCATCTGGCGGGGCCGGGCCCCGGCGGCCGACTCACCTTCCCGTCCTGGTGGAAAGGAAGGCCGATTTCATCCGTAGGGGGCGGGAGGCGGGCGCAGCCGGTCTCTTCCACCGCTCCGGTGACGAACCCGGAGGCGGCGGCGGCGGCCTCGTAGTCCGGGAAGGGATTGGGGAACGCTCGCTCCTCCATCTCTGCCTCCCCTCCCAAGTGCAGTTTCAGCCTCTTGGACATGGTCTCGCCCATGTCCGCCGCGCGCGCTCTCCCGGCGCCGGGCGGGACGGCGCGCGAGCCGGGACAAACCTCCCGCGAGGCGTTTCCGCGGGAGCGACGCCCCGCGCGGCCCGGCTGGCGCGCGCCCACCGCCTCCCCCCCCCCTCTGGGACCCCCGCGGCTTGGGCCAATGGCTTCCTCAGGAGGACCGGAGCGGCGAGCCCACGGGGCGGGTGGGGCCTCGACGCTGGCTGCAGCTGGGCGACCCGACCAGCCTCCCCAGGGGTGGCCGACACATCTGGCCGCAGCTGGTGGCACTGCACGTGGTGTCTCGGCCGGGCAGCCCCGCCGGGAGGAGCGGGACCTCCAGTCCTCCGCCGCCGCTTACGGTCCGCGCGCCCCCAGCCGCCTCTTCCTCCCCAGGCCGCGGCCGCTCTGGCCGCCGGCGAGGTCCCAGGCCGCGGGCGGCCCGCCGATCCTGGTCGCTGCCCGCGCCCCGCAGCACCGCGTCTGGAAAATGCTCCGGGGAGTACACCTCGCTTCTTAAAGAAAACCCAGTGGCCGTGAGGGGTACGTTCCTGCAAGGGAAGAGAAAGATAATCTGTGAAGAGTTGGTTGTCATTCAAGGTGTGTCCGGGGAAGCGCAGCCCCGGACGCTCCACCGTCCATCTGCATTTTCACCGGCCCGCCGCCGCCGCCGCCGCCCAGGTCCTCGGTCCCTGGTGTTGCACCAGTCACTGGGATAACAGCAGTTGTGTTAAATATATTTATATTTCTAAAAATCCTACAGAAAAGAATCTGAAAACCCCCTTTAAACATGCAAAGGATAGTCTCCCGTGGGAAGTGGGGTGGTGGAGATACAGTCCCTCCCATTCATCACCATTGGGAGGGGGGGGTGTCTTGGAGGAGGAGCCACAGGCTTCTTCCCCCCCCCCCCCATTTTGTTTCCAGTCCCATGGATTTGAATACATGGGCATCTAATGGAACAGCGATGATATGACAGTATACATAATCATCTAAATATTTGGTTGATCACAGAAATGCCTTCAATATTCATATCACGGGCTGAGGGAATAAAACACAAGCAAATAGAGCCTTGCATTTATATAATCACAGCAGATAACTTCACAATCTTTACCGGTTCTCTGTTCTTCCTGCTATTTGTTGTTGTTGTTGTTTTACAGTTACATCGATGATTAATCCTCCTAAAGAGAAATGTCTCAATTCTGCCTTCCAGTGAACAAACACGGGTGCTAGGACAAGAAAATAGACTTAAAATTTCCTAGCCCTTGTGGATTTCCAGCTAATGGGTGAAAACGGCAAAAATATAGGTATGCTTTTCTGAAACTCAGAAGGGTACATATTAATACATTGTCAAAAGTAACATGATAGGGAACACAATATCAAGTATAGAAAGGTCTCAATCACTCTCACTCTCTGGCCTGAGTTAGAGAAAGCTATTTCAACCTTGACCTACTGTCCTTGCCAACCCCACAAGGCTGTAGATGTGAAATACACCTGCTTAAGAGCATGGTCATGAGAAGTGTCAGTGTAAGAGATACTTACTCAGTGTAAGAAAACAGGATGTGACAGGGAACATAATCCTTGGCGGGATCTGCTCTAATAGTCTGTTTTGCCACTTCACTGGGGGTCCATTTTTCTGTCACCTACAGCAAAGGAAATTCACTTAATGCTTTCGATTTTCCTGCCTTGGCAGTTGAAAATCCAGTTTACTAACTTGTCAACCTGCCTTAGGAGTCATCCTTTTCAAATATTGGATATTTCTCTAGACAAAATAACAGAACTGTGCTAGACTATGAACCCATAAAGCCAGGAAAAATAACTATCTCCAAGCAACTTCCTGTCTGGGCCAATTTGTAGGGCAGTGTTCCTTCCTAACACTGACTTAGAAGAAAGACACTCCCCCCCTCCCCCCAGAGAAGTATGCTTTAGAGATAGGTTCAGGTTATTCATGTTAGTACCCCCAAGACATAGGAGATATTGAGATTATTCAGATAAGAAACCTAGGATACAGCTTTCACAACTGAAAGCAGGTCATCTCTGAGGTCTGAGGATTTCCAGGAAGCCCCCAGTGTCAATCTATTTGCATAAAGCTTGTCTTTCCTTCACAAACCTGGGAAAACCAGATACACTTACCTGGCCTAAGAACCAAAACTCAAGTGTTTGTATAATGTTAAATTTTCATATTGTCCTACTGCCTCAATATCAGCACCAGCAGGCTATGAGCCCCAGAGAAGGCAACTGGGAGCACCAGTCACAAGGCTGGCTCCTGCCACTGTTTTTCTTGTCCTTTCCTGCTTGGGATCTATAGATTCTTCCCTTGACCAAACTTAGGCAGGTTCCCAAATGGTAGGACTACCTGATGTTTGCCTTGGTGTACTGACACCTACTCTGTTTCTTGGTTACAAATTCCACCTTGTTGTAATCTCTCACAGTGCAAATCTGATTGCCATGATCCCTTGATTTACGAACGGGATCCAAAGTAAAGCCTGGCTTACTGTGCTTTAGCAAATGTCATAGAGGACATTTGCCTTTAACACTAGTGATCCCTTTTGTCTTTCACTTAGGTATTCTACCTGAGGTCCAATAAAAACATTTCTTCCCAGGTCCTTGTTCTTTTTGCTTCCCACAAAGTTGGGGCTTTCCATTTGGCCATCTTATGGCAAACATTGCTTTGCTGTAGCCTGGAGTGTATTTTGTACTCTTTTTTTTTTGGTGCCTTCTTGTGTTGCCATTTGCCCGGAAGGCCCCTACTGGAGCAAGGCCCTAGGAAATGAGGAAGTGATCCTATTAGTTCAAAGAATTATTTCACTGGAAACTGAATTCTCTCACCTTGAGGCATATGGGTCTTGACAAGATCTGGTGCCTAGTGGTCATGCCTAGTTGAATCAGTATGGTGCTCTGCAAAGTAAAGCAGTGTTTTACCAGACTTTTTGGCGTGTGCTTGTAATCCCAGCTACTCAGAAGGCTGAGATCTGAGGATTGTGTTTTGAAACCAGAACAAGAAAATCTGTGGTCTCTTTACCACCAAAAAGCCAGAAGTAGTGCTGTGGCTCAAGTGGTAAAGTGCCACCCTTGAGCAAAAAAGCTAAGGGACAAGCTGGGTGTGATGGTTTACACCTGTAATCCTAGCTACTCAGGCTGAGATCTGAAGATCGTGGTTCAAAGCCGGCCTGGGCAGGAAAAGCCATGAGACTCTTATCTCCAATAAAACACTCAGAAAACTGGAAGTGGTGCTGTGGCTCTAGTGCTAGAGCACTAGCCTTGAGCTGAAGAGCTGAGGTACAGCTCAGGCCCAGAGTTCAAGCCCCACGACCAACCAAAAAAAAAAAAAAAAAAAAGCTAAGGGACAGTGCCCAGACCCTGAGTTCAAGCCTCAGAACTGGCATTAAAAAGAAAAGAAAAAAAAAGCATTCAAGAAGATTGCTCATGGAGACTCCCATAAATATTTCAAAGGGGAGAAGTTTTCAGGTTGTGAGCCAGTGAAGTTTGAGTTACAACTATTCACATGTTTCTTTTGAGATCTGCTTTACCTGGTACAGAAAGCAGTGGCAGAAGTAAAGACTTTCTCATCGAAAAAAAATATAGTACTTTTCTGTGAAAAGCACTCAAGAGGACTGCTTTTACCTCTGCCTAGCTAATTGCTTCCTTATTTCATCTCTGTACAAAGAAGTATTCTCTTCTAGTACAGGCTAGGCTTCGTTTGAGACAGTTCTCTCATTTATAAAAAATGAGCTGGATAGGTGGTTAACTGCCTGGTTTCCTATATAGATAGTGATGTGGAAGCAGCAGCAGGATTCTTCTATTTCTGGCATAGCCCTGGCGCTATGGTTTGGTTGTGTCCAAAATAACTGCTAAGAGGTTCCTTTGGTCTTTGCTATTTGGAGAGGTGATAGAACCTTTAAAAAGTGGAGTCTAGAAGGAGGTCATTCAGTTCCAGCAGCATGCCCTGGAAGGGGATATTGGGACCCAAGTCTTTTCCTCTTTCTCCCTTTTATAACCTGGCCATGAGGTATGTACAGTTTTTCCCTGGGCAACCTCTGTGATGTGTTGTCTCACAACAGGCCCAAAAGCTTTGGGTCCAACTAATAATGGATTAAACATCCAATATTGTGGTCCAAAGAAACTCTTTCTGTGTATATGCCTATCTCAAATATCTGTTATAGTAACAGAAAGCTGGCTAATACACCTGGCAACAATCTAAGAAGAAATGTCTGTCTCTCTAGTGGTAAATCCTGTTTGCCTAAGTGTCTTCCAGGAGGCCTTGAATCTATTCCTTTAGCTCCTCCAACAACTTTGTCACCTAATTTCTTATACTAAATTCCCAGGTCATTAAAGTACTTCAAGTAAGTTTTTTCTCCTGTATCCATCTCTGGGTGACACAAGCTGTAATTTCAAAACTTCAGCTTGGTTTTTATTCTGTTGCTTAAAAATACATAGGAATGAGCCTCATTTCCTAGAACTACACATTTCAGAATGTAGCATGAAAGCAGGGTTTTTTTTTTTTTTTCACTTTCGCCAGTTTTTTCTCAGTTTTTGTCAGTTTGCCAGATTGTGGATATAGATTATGCAGATTATTTTGTACTCATGGAATAATTTTTCTTCCCTACTAAAAAAACCCTACAAAGTCTCTGAAAATTAATGTTTATTCTTGGTAAACTATACATGTCTGTGTATGCATATTTAAACACATCTTCCATTGGATCATGAGGAATAATGGAAAAGTATGTAGTCTAATAGAAAAAAAAATCTTAAAGGACTTTTGACTCAAGTACCAAAGCTCATAGGCTACAAGCTCCTCCTTGTGAAACTTTGTACCTTCATAGTTTGATTAAATTGGGCAGATAATGAGGAAATCAGGCAATGTGGTTATTTCAAATACATGCTAGACTAATAACATTCCTAGGGTAGATAATTAGTCTAGACTCCTCTAAATGGAAAGTCTCATAGATGTAGGTGGTTCATTTAGAAAGAGGATCTAGGAAGTAGATGTAAGTAGTAGACTAAGGCATTTGTCCATGGGTTCCTGTCTTCTGTGGACTAA